AGCAACTGAGATAACAAGGTGTAGAGCTGGATGAACACAGCAGGCCAAGCAGCATCGTAGGAGCTCTGATGCTGCTCGGCCTGCTGTGTTCATCCAGCTCTACGCCTTGTTATCTCAGATTCTCCAGCATCTGCAGTTCCTATTATCTCTGAAGCAACTGTTCGGTTTGGAACTTGGTCATGGCAGGAGATTCCCAATAGGACAGTAGAAACATACTATGGACGTCCTTAAAGCATTTCTGAAGAGGTCAGACAGCCCTGCCAATTCATGGGAGACCCTGGCTTGTGACATTCAAAAATGGACAGGGGTCATTCAGGGAGGAACCAAATATAGAGAAACTTCACAGCAGTGTTCAGAAGAGAAAAGTTGAATCACTGGAGGGGCAAAGAAATGACTGATCTCCTCCATTCTTCAAACACCTCCCGCCTTGCACGTGGCAGAGTCAGTGATTGCATATTGGATTTATCAGGCATTTCAGAACCAATCATAGTGAAAGGAAATCACCCTCAATCTCTGCCTGTTCCCCCTAAAAATAGGATAATGGGGTCTTTTACATCCACTTGGACAGTAGATTGGTCCTTGGTTTAATTACTTGTCATATCAGTATCATGAAAGAGGTTAGCCTTGACTTTTGCTCTTCAGTCCTAAGATTGATTCAAAATTTATGGGTTGAAGATCTAAGACAAAAGTGCAACCGACTGACTAACCAACCTAGATACAAGACCTCCAAGTTCAAACTGAGCAAAATCAGATTTTTCTTGTCAGCATCTTAAATAAGCTAATCATTTTTAATTCAAGGAATTATTGCTAATGTTAATGTGCACATCCTTTTTATTGGTTTAATGTACTTCCAAGGTAGCTCACAAATTTATACCTTTTAAGGAGGTTGAACTGTTTGTCTAACCTACTTCCATACTTATTGAACTTAAGTGTGACCAAATGTATCAATGGAATCCAGTGTAAATCCAGAAGGTGGAGTTTCAGTTGACTGCTATTTCACATTTGCAAGTTTACCCCATTTGCCCAGATAAATGACAGCCCATCAAAATAACGAAACTGCGCATTAAATACTTCAAAGCATTCTGAAATGCAATAGTGGGCATAAAATATGGAAGGAAAAAAATTTTCATCCGATTTTTGAAATATGAAGAATCAGCCTGTTGGCTTCCTGGTGAATTAAAAAGAACACCAAGATTTTCACTTTAAGCGCATAAAATAAATGCAAATTAATGGGACAGGACAATTTAAATGTTACCATAATTCTCACTGCAGCACTGCCAAAAAAATAAAAAAGGAGCAAAGTAAGCTTTTACAATGTGCATCCAAATACAGTACAGTATTCCTGCAGGATATTTATCTTCAACCACAGCCTGACCACTTTACCAGCTACATGTTTTTCTTACCTGGCAAACAAACTTAACATCAGGTGAATTTCTAGAAAGTGGTTTTGGAAATATGTAGAAGTTAAAGGTCTTCATTATGTGCCTGCCGAGCAAAAATGAAATAATGAGTAAGAACTTCTGTGTTAGTACTTTTTACCAAAGTCAACAATTGCTCTTTTCGGGAAAAGGGTCAGCTGTGACACTATTTGTTGTGCAGGAATTAAGTCACACTGATGGGAACAAACCAGGTTTATACAAACTGTTCTCATAGTTTAACCCTTGAGCTTTCAATATGATTCAACTGCAAGTCCAGTGTACCTCTCTAAGGTCAATATATATATCTTTCCTGGGTGTGATGACCAATTGAAGCATACCCTTCTCACTTTTGAATTTAAAACATCTTGGGGAAAAGCAAACACCAGAGTCGTTAATTACATTTGCATCTATGGGCTACCATAGCATAGTGATCAAATTACTGGATTAATAATCCAGAGTTCAAATCTACCCATTAAGACATATATCATCAAATAAATCTGTGATTAAAACAAAAACCTATCAATATTGGTGACCAAAAACATTCAGATTGTTGTGAAAACCCATCTGCATTAGTAAGATTTTTTAGGGAAGATATCTACCATCTTTACTTGACTGGGTCTAAATGCTCGTAGGCACATACTCTCTGAATTCAATCTCTTCACTGGTTTGCTGACCATGGTTGCTTAACTACACAATCAATGCTTTTGCCTCACTGCCGTTTGCATAAGTTTGGGAAGTGTCAGGTGCAGTGAGGGAGAGACAGCATGGGAGCACGACAGAGAAAGAGAAAGAGAAAGAGGGAATGAGTCTTGTCCGTTGCCACCATCATTATGGAAGAACTCAACGTGGGTTTGATACACATTGTTCACTTGGATACTTCGTTACTCTTGGGCTGTTAGCTCAAGGACATGCAGTAGCTATAGATCTGTAGTTCCTCATAGGTCAGCAAATACAGGGAGAAAGGGTTACATAATTGACAGAAGTTCACTGTTGGCTAAACTTAAAAACAATTATGTAAATAAACCCACCTGTTCTCCGCACCATCATATTTAAATGTGCAAAGTCCAAACTGAAAAAGCAGGAAGTCCATGGAATGCTGCAAGAAAAAGTAACATTTTATTATTTTGAATCCAGAAGGTCACTCTGGTTGTTAACACTTAAATCAATAACTTTTTCTAGAAAAAGTTTTCCCCCTCCACAAACATCTCCCTGCATATAAATAGACAGGAAATCTTAATCCACATCTCAATGAATTCAGCATTCATATTTGAATGCCCTTAATTGTGGTATTAACAGAGATCACAA